ATGTGCTACTGTTATCTTGCCCTTGTGCCATCTCTGTGGAAACTGGGCTCCAGGGTTCAGAAGATGATATTCTCTGGTTACTAACCTTGCTATACTTTGTCTCTGACTTAGGAGTTCTCACATCTGCTAACATCCATGAACCTCTTTTATCTTCTGAGTATACAATCTCAAACTCTTTACCATTATGGCAATATGGCAAAAGCAGCATTCTTACAAATTGTGTAAACCTTTACTCCTAGAAACTACCTTTCTCAAAGAGAACTATGGCAGAATTTCTGAGAATGTAAAATGTACATACAGCCTTTGACCTAGCAATTTAAGTATTTACACTAACAAAACAAACATGCAAGTACAGTAGTACATAGCAGTTCACCCTTCCTCTCCAGGAGATATATTTCAACACCCCCAATCTGTGGATGACTGAAATAGGGGTTAGTAGGGAAGTCTATAAGCATACATTATTCATTGACTAACTGGTTTTGAACACATGGTCAAAAAAATTGAACATATTTTAAAACAAAAAATTTTAATTTGAATGTACACAGTATGCATCTCAGTTGATGTAGAGTTCAAAGTTATATGAACAATATCATCTGTTGTGTTAAAATTATCATGTGATGTTTCCTTGTCCTTGATTTTGTAAAAATGCCTCCCAAAAAGTAAATGTGCCCCCCCGAAAAAAAAAACCAAAGTAAAAGTTATGGCAAGCTTCCCAAACCCATATTTTATGATGGCTTAAGGTGATAAACTGAATTTTTTAGATTTCTTGAAAGGCAGTTATGTTTTTAGCAGTAGTTGGGCCATGTTATGGGGAAAAATGAATCACATATCTTCAGTATTGGACATAAAAGCATGAAATAATATGTAGATTTTGGTGAGCAGTATCAGTGTATACAGAAGTAATTTCTGTATACAATAGTAATTTCTGTCACAATAATGTAGCCTACTCCATGTGGTTCCAAGTTATGGATGCCAGATGTATGGTATAGGTAAATTTGAGTAATATTAGAACATTGAACTTTGAACATTCATGACTTTTCCTCATTGGTCTCCTTGGAACCATATACCTATGGATACCAAGGGTCTACTGTACATATATACCTAAACTTTGACCTCTCACTTAAAGGAAACACTTGACAGCTTTAATTGTATTTAGCATATCTGACTTTCCACCATCACTACTTGTGAACTTTGGATCCACTTATAAATAAGGGTGACTTCACTTAAGCCTTATAAAATCATGACAGTTAATCTGATAACCATGTGTCTCCTAAGTGACAGGTAGATGGCAAAAACAATATGAATATGTTGGGCAATATGTGATTCATGGAGCATAAAGGTATGACAATGCATATACTATACAGAATGGTGCACTATTTAAAATTTATGAATTGTTTAGCTTTGGGATCTATTTAATATTTTTTAAATGAAGTTATTATAGATAAGAGAAATCATAGAAAGAATTGAAGACAAGGGAGACGATTGAACAAACAGAAATGATTCTATAATTCATTTGTACAATTTCATTTGTTATAGAAACAAATTTGACCAACGAAACATAGGTCCCATGGTTTCCCTTATTTGCAATAGCTAGTATGAGTCAAGCAGAAAAGGTCAGATAAGGTGATGTTAGGAAAATGAACCCTAAGATATGTATTTAAATGTTTTTTTTCTTTCATGCATTTGTTTCTAACGCATTTATAAGATTATTTCTTAGTTGCTTTGTATGTCCCTCCCCGACAGTATAACCCCTGCTTTCACTGTATTTGATGTAGGTATAATTTGTGGAGGGGAAGGGGAAAAACAAGTCGTTTAAATAAGGATACAGGTGGACCCGTTGCAACAATAAGAAGTACAAGTTGTCATGTTGAAAACGAACTTTACAACTTTGGTTGGGGAGGGAGTTGGGGGGGCAGGGGGAGGCTGGGAAGGGATGGGAAGGGTAAACAAAGGAGGAGGCTACAATGCTTGATAAGAAATGTACTCATTATCTTGCCTATCTAATTGTAACCCCTCTGTACAGTATTTTCACAATAAAAAAGAAATAAAAAGAAACAAATTTGAAGTATCCTAAATATCAAGAGAGGAAAATAAAGCTAGGCACCGGTGGCTCACAACTATAATCCTAGCTACTCAGGAGGCTGAGATCTGTGGATCATGGTTCAAAGCTAGCCCAGGCAGGGAAGTTTGTGAGACTCTTATCTCCAATAAACCACCAGAAAACCGGAAGTGACACTGTAGCTCAAGTGGTAGAGCGCTAGTCTTGAGCTGAAGAACTGAGGAACAGCACCCAGGACCAAAGTTTAAGGCCCACAACTGGCAAAAAATAAAAATAAAAAAGGAAAACAAATTGTAGGCTATTCCTATAATAAAACACCAAAAAGAACTTTAAAAAAGGTAATATACTTACACTGATGTGAAGAGATGTTCAGCAATTATTGTGGTGAATAGAAGCTACAGAAAATGATATATGGTAAACTATCATTTATGAAACAAATGTACATTTATACATACTGACATCTGGATGGTGAGAGTTATCATGATATTTTTTTTATGGCAGTACGGGGTTTGATCACTTGAACAATGACTCCAGTCCTGTTTTTTGTGGGTTATTTTTGACATCAAATCTCATTTTCTACCTATATACACTCTTGAGCTATGATTTGCCTACTATAGGCTTCCTATCTTTGCTGGGATCACAGGGATGAACTACTACATCCAGCTTCCTTTTGTAGAAATGGAGTCACACTATTCTGCCTAAGCTGGCTTGGAAAAGTGGTCCCCTCCCAACCCCCCACCCCCAGGCCAAGTAGCTAGGGCTACAGGTACAAGCCACCAACACCTAGTTCATAGTGATGATCTTTGTGAAACTGAGTTGCTGATTCATGGGCACATAACACCTTCACTTGTTCCTTTAACAATTTCTGCTTCACGCAATGAATGTATACACTTACTTCATGAATTAGTAAGATCTGTGTCAATTAACAATATCTGAAAATTTATATCTGAGATATCCAGTTAGAATGGTAAAATACAAATGGGCAAGAGGCTCTCATCTGACCAATCACTTCAATAGACATTTATCTCCCATCAGTGCTGGAAACAAGTACAGAATGTCTTGTATTGGGGCTGAGGAAGAAACATACACTACACACAAAAAACACAAAATCAGGTAGCTTCTCTAAGCTGCTGGGAAGCAACTCTACATGGGTAGTTCTGAGTAAGTAACAGAGCGGATTTATTTATTTAACAGTGGTTACTAATTCAATTGACTTCATAAAGAGGTATGAAACCTAAGCAGAGGTGTGAAGGACAAGACACCAGGTGAGAAAGTGATTCAAATTGTGCTCACTAAAATTCATTCCAAATGTATTTAGTGATTTCTACAAAATGCCTGACATTGTAAAACATCAGTAGACATTAAAACATATTATAAAGGTAGAGTAACAGAAGCAGTGTGGTATCATTACAAGAAGTCAGATATAACTGATCAATAGTTCAGAAAGAGCCTCAAATTACAGAAATTAGTGCTCCTGATATAGGTAGGTAGGAAGTAGTATGTAGATGGATAGATGGATTGATAGATAGACAATAGACAGACAGATAAACAGACAGATCTATAGGGCTCATACCAGGGAAAAGCAGAATTTAACAAATGATGGAGTTGCTCACCACTACAACAAAAAGGTAGACCTTACCTCATATCTCACACCAAAATTGAGTAAGACTATTAATAGTACCAGAAAAAAATGAGGGCATTCACAAACCACGTCTTCAAAGGATCCATGGTTAGCTTGGCATATGTTGACTAGGCCAAAATTAAAGAGGATGAGCACAATAGGATTACTACTGTAAAGGAAATAATATTTTAAACTACCATTGTATGAGGCCTAGACAGATCATGATACAGTAAAAGGCATGATCATTTGTACACGGCGCTGACCCCTCTGGTTTTCAAGTCAGTGACTGAAAGGAAGAACATCAAAGTGCAGGGCTTAGAATAGTCAAATTTGGGGAGGGCAGGTGGTTTGTTTGTTTTTAATTTAGTATACGCAGAGGAGTGGGGAGAAGTCAATTCAACACTTAAGAACGCGCATCTTCTGAGGCGACCCACATTGCCAACCGGAAGGACAACAACAGTGCTCCTTGTCCCTAGAACTTCGCGTTCGATAAAGAAGAGGTGCCCCTCTACTCCACCAATAGGGCCACAGAAGCATGAAGTGACCTTGAAGGGGGGGGGGAAATGTACCCATTTTCCTGAATTTAAACCAAGGACTGCACGCCGACAATGGAACTGTGTTTGGAAAGAGATCAGAACCGGAGAGACCTTTGAACCTGCGGGCCGAGAGCTCTCCAAGGACCTGAAGTCACACACAGTGCACTGTCCAATGCAATAGATAGCCACGATTTCCTATCCCTTAATCTTCCTGAGTACTCGCAGAGTTCGGTTGAGTGACTGCACGCCGGAGCTCGGTGACCACCGTCCCTTTGGGAATTGCCAACCCCGCCTCGCCCCCCCACTGCAGACAGGCTGACCCGGATGGATCGATGGTCCTCCTCACACCTGGGTCCACCCCTAAACCCAGGAAGGAGGCCGCCGCCGAGCACGCCGTGGCAGTCCTGAAGAAAGACGGACGGCGAGCCCCAGCTGTCACGTGGGCCCCCGCGTAGCAGGGACCGGGCAACAAGTCCGCGGCCCCGAGCGGCGCACGCGCACGCGCGGCGGCGGCCAGGGCCCCGCGGGCCTCAACGCTGCGCCTTCGCAAGCCGGACCTCGGGCCCAGCGGACGCCCGGGCCCAGGCACCCCCCGGCCCCCACCAACCCCTCCGCAAGCCCCGCCGGCGCAGCACGGCGGGTGAGGTTAAAGAGCCCGCAGGGGGAAGGTGGGGGGGCCTCGGCCCTGCTCCCAGGCTCCCCAAACCGCGGCGCCCCGGCCCCGCCCCCGCGGCGACGGAGGAAGACAGACGCTCAGGAGGGAGAAGGAAATAATGAGCCGTACCCTGCGGGGTCCGGGAGAGGCGCGCGCCGAGGGCTTCACCCCGCCCTGACCCGGCGGCGCGGGAAAGGCCTGGGCGCGAGGGCGGCTGCCGGGCCGTGGCGCGGCGGCACCACGGCGGCCAGCCCGGACAGGCGCGACCCGGAAGGAAGAAGCGGAGGCCAAGGGGCGGGACGGATGGGAGGGGCGGGGCTTCTCGGTGGGTGGGGCTGGAAGGTGGGCGGGGCTTTGCCATGGGGGCAGGCGAGGGCGAGTCCAGGAAGGCGGCACGCCCAGGCCGAAGGCAGCCCTGTTCTAGAAGGAGCTGAGCCAGTGGTACTCTGTAAATGGCCTCATTACTCTGTAGTGTGCGGTGGTTGCAGATCTTCTGCCTCATCTCCTCTGCGCACCAGCCTGCCAGCTGCAGTGTAGTCCTCTGCTGAGGCTTCTTCAAAGTTGGTGACTCAGGTGGTGGATTATGGCCTGGGACCCCTCTGCAGAGAAACTATGGAGCATGTGCCTTATGCACTCTGAAGACATAATTCAGCACTGTAGCGAACCACTGCAGCCTCACATACAAAGCCACCCCGCAGGAGCATTTCTATCTAACATTCGAAAGTCCGAGACCGTTTATTACATCTTTTGAAGATGCCACCACTGTTCTGTTAGTTAAGGTTAAATATTTTGAGTAGGTAGGGTGTGATCCTTTCCTTGGTTAAATCATGTTCATCTTATTACAAGGTTTCTGTTAAAATGGAAAAATTAAAAAAAAAAGTCGAGTCACACATTATGTCCTGTCTAATTGCTCACAAAGGCAAAATAATAAAAATGTGTATTATATACATACAAGCACATAGATGGAGCCAATATAGGATGTGCAAGGTAGTTTACATACAAAAATGGAAATACGATAAAGGAATTGGAACTTAATCCATATCCCTCAATTTTCAGTTGGCTATTGCTTAGTGACTTGCTTCCTAAGAATAGAGTATTGGAGAGAGGAAAAGAGCAACTTTATAGGGGGAACCACATAAATACAACTCTGGCCAGACAAAGGTTAACACCATCAGTGATATGTCAATAGCAAGCACCCTGAAATGGTGCAATGTAAAGGGCATTGTCTTGTTAGCAGTAAGGGGAACAAATGAAAAGTAATGGGAAACGCTCTGTACTGTCATTGTAACTTTTCTGTGAATCTGAATCTATTTTTAAACAGAAATTTGATTAAAATAAATTGATTTATTAATGAGTAAATAAAACTGACCCTTTTAAGGCCTAATTGCATTGCTGGCTATTGGGAGCTCAAATCCTGTTTACAGGAGTTTCTCATTCCTAATGTAATTTCCAAATAAATGTTTTACTGAAGTATTAAATATACTCAGAATATGACACAAAATATGAGCATAGGCTTTGATGAAAAGGGAACATATTTATGTATTCAGCATTCTTCTAAGAAAAAGATAATTACTACCACTGGGAAGTCCCTTATAGATCCCTTTAAATTCTTCCCATTACTCCTTCTCCAAATTAACCATGATCCTGACTTTTAACACTAGAATTTAATTTTGATAAGTTTTGACTTTAAGTATATGGGATCTTATATTATCCACTCTTTGGAATCTGTCTTTTTTCTATCAAATTATGTTTATAAGAGTCACTCACATTATTGAGTGTAGAAGTTGTTTCTTCAGTTTCTATTACTAAGCCAAAATTTATTCTGCTTTTGATGTACAGTGAGCTGGGTTTTTTTTAAAAAAAATAGTTTCGATAATTGCATATGCTGCTGCTTTTCGCATTCTTGTTCATCTTTTTTTTTTGAAAGATTTCTATATACTTTCATCTCAGTGTTTAAGAGGCATAACAAGTGCTCTTGTTCATTTTGATCAGTGGTTTTGTTGTTGTTTATTTGCTTGTTTGTTTGAGCTGTTAGAATATGAACTCGAGGCCTCAAGTATTTTTATTCTTAATGACACATATTAACTGCTCAGAAAGTAAATAAATTCTTATTTTAAAAAAGGAAAAAGCCTAGGGGGAAAAGTTCCATTTTTGTGACAAATGAAAGGTTAGTCATGACTGCCCAAATAGCCCTTCCTCCAACCTTTTTAAGGTCCACACTGTGGCCATACTTGTTTTGCTGGTAAGGAAAGCCAAGTGAGCCCAAAGAAAAGAGTGATGCCTATCTCACAAATGGCCCTGATATAATGGGTGAACTAATGCCTAGTTGTTAAATGGAATGTTGTTTGGGGCTGAATAGCATCCCACACTGTATCAGCACTATTAGAAATAAAGAAAGCCCCAACAAGGCTTAATTGTGCCTAAAGTCACCAACTCAGCAACCTGGTTATGATCCATTCTATGTTAGCCTCAAAAGTCCCAATGTGCTACTTAAATAAAGAGGTGGGCAAAGAAATAGCAGGTTCAATACTTTGCCCTAAACTCTTGAAACATATCAACCCCTTCACTATTTTCAAGTGATTTTTCTTTATCTTAGAATGACATACCTATAAGTTGTAAGATTTAAGGGTTATGAGCCTGCATGAAAATAAAATACCTTATCAAAAGGGCTGAGATCTCATTCAGAAGACTGCAGAAGCCTAAAAACATCTTCACAGTGAGTTCCCGTAAGTTCCCAATATGTTCTTCTCTCTACTCTCTACTCAAGATTTCTTAGAAAATGTAACTCCAAGCCTGGCACCGGTGGCTCATGCCTGTAATCCTAGCTACACAGGAGGCTGAGATCTGAGGACCATGGTTCAAAGCCAGCCCCGACAGGAAAGTCCACGAGACTCTTATCTCCAATAAACCACCAGAAAACTGGAAGTGGTGACATGGCTCTAGTGATAGAGTGCTCACCTTGAGCTGAAGAACTCAGGGGCAGTGCCCAGACCTACAGTTCAGGCCCTATGACCACCAAAAATGAAAAAAAGAAAACATAACTCCATACATTTCAACCTAACTCAGCCAATATACCCGACCTTTCTAAGAAATTTTCAAAGGAACTACTTTGATGGAAAGTAGAGTTCAAAAATCTTGACATGCCAATAGGCAAAAAGCATAAATAATGGCCAATAAGAAATTAATAAAGAGCATTAACAATAGCTGATCAGAGTTTCTTTTCTGATCCCATTATAGGCCATAATTTTATTTAGTTATTTATTTTCATTTTAACGTTAATAGTTCATGATATTGTTCTAAAAATAGTCACAGCCTTGATGACAAAAATTATCCAAATTTTAAACAGGTACAAAGGCCCACACTCATGAAATCCAAACTCCCCCTCTTTTTTTATACAAATGAGGAAACAGATTCAAGAAGAGATTGAGCCAATTCCTTAAGTCCTAGTTAGAGCTGTCAAGGAAACTTAGTTCTCCATTTTTAAATCAGAGGGTTTTGTTTTAATCATAATGCATTACTTTACAATTCAGTAAAAATTAATCATGTTCTTATATTACCATATCTTTAAAAGAACTGAGTATGGTATATGGAAACTGAACTTGATCGTAGGAAGATCTGTCTATCTAGCCTGCCATGTTAATAAGCTGGTGATATTGTATAAGTTACAACTTCTCTGAGCTTGTTGGCACTTCTATGAAATATGCCTAACTCACAGCCACTGAAGAGATTTAAATGAAATCATGTATGTGAAAGTACTTTATGAGTGATAAAATAGTATGCAAATGTATGAAGATTATTAAAACATGTCGAAGATCAGTAATTGAACCTTTCCAATGCAAAATGTCAGAGTAGGACCTTCAAGTTCATGTGAGTATAACTTTTAATTATCACCAGAAAAGAATGAAGCCCAGAAAGACTGGATAATTCATCCAAAGGCAAATGGCAAGTGACTTTCAAAGCCAAAACTTGAATGCAAGTCTCCTATAGCTTCCAATGAGCAATTTCCAATCTTTTCAATTAGTGAATATAGAATAAAATTACTAAGTTGGCTTAAAATAATATGATAAAATAGTAAAATGATTTTAAAGGCCTGCAGAGTATCTTGAAGTATAGTTGAATAAATGAAAATGTAACCAATTCTGTTGGTGCTATTTTCATTTGTGCAGTTTTTTTCTGTTGTTTAGATCATATATTTGATAAATGAGCAATAAGAAAGTTTTTCTGGTGGGAATAATGGAAGAACTATCACAATGAGATAGAGGATAGACTAGTCATCTTTCTGAGTGACTTCATTTCTAAAATGAAGGAACCCAAAGCGAGGAAAATAGAAAGTTTATTCATGGTCAGAAACTCAGGTCTCAATGAGGTACATTTATTTTCCTTCCTACTTTTTCCTTTCTGAAAGGTATAAGCTTCTTTAAAAAATGTTAGGGGTCTATTCAGTGACATGGTACTGTACAAAAGAACCCCCACAAAAAAACAAAAAAACCAGAGATTTTGCATCTATGCAGGCAAACCAAAAGTGTTGTGACTATCAGAGAGTTTCAGTACAAATCATCCATGTAATAAAAGCTTTTCAATGTTAACTCTTATTCTCAATGAATACTTTTTTTTAATGCATTGGGCCAAACCCAAGGCCTTATATATAGTAGAGAAAGACTCAATTGCTGAGCTACATGCCAGCACATCAGTGGTGATTTTAAGTGGCTAAATTACCTATTTACATTTCCACAACCATTACTATTCTTTCTTCATGCTAACTCAGCCTAAGTTTCTAAAACAAATATCTGGTGATAATTTTCCAGCTTATTCTAAAAATGAATAAATGCATCCTGTTTTTGTTATTGAGCCATGAATATTTTATATAGTATTTATACAGTAAACATAAATGACCAATAATTTGTGAAGTATAATTTAAAATGAAATCATATATGTATATATAGATATATTTCTCCATATCTCTCCTGAAATCTTGGTGAAGAGACAACAATCAAAGAGCTTCCTTAAAAGTACATCTCCAAGCTGGGCACCGGTGGCTCACACTTGTAATCCTAGCTACTCAGGAGGCAGAGATCTGAGGATCACGGTTCAAAGCAAGCCCGGGCAGGAAAGTCCATGAGACTCTTATCTCCAATAAACCACTCAGAAAACCAGAAGTGGCGCAGTGGCTCAAGTGGTAGAGCGCTTGCCTTGTGCTGAAGAGCTGAGGGACAGTGCTCAGGCCCAGAGTTCAAGCC